TGAGAGAGTGAAAGTGAGAGTGTGCGAGTGAGCGGGGCGGGGGGGCAGGGGGGCAGGGAGCAGAGGGAGAAAGAGAATTCCAAGCAGACTCCGAGCTGATGGGGAGCCCAAGGTGGGGCTCAATCCCGGGACCCTGAGATCAGGACCTGAGCTGAAATCAAGAGTTGATCAGGCACCCTGAAATATGCAGTTTCTAATCCTGATATAGGATTTGGGTTTATAAACTGCTAATTGATGGGTAAAATAAATATACTTAATTATATTCAGTTTAACATATTTATTGGTATAGTGCCTTTAAATATTCTCTATCTAGTCTCCTCTAAATTCTGAGTTTAGCAATTTTAATTTCTGATGTTAGACAACTTTTTAAATTAAGAAATATTAAAGTCAAACTATATAAATGTAAATATAAAATTGTATATAAAATTGCACGGCCTGATTCAACAAATATCAGAGAGACAAGAGAAGCATCTGTAATCATTAGTGACTAAAACATTATTTAAAACATTTATCTTTACCATTATATACTGAATATAGCAAATAAATTTTCATTTAGAGATAAATACTAAATTGAAATTCTAAAGAAGGGAGAACACTTTTAAATATATTTATTAAACACGTAGTTCATCTTTCTGTCAATATTCTGTATGTAGGTTATACATACAATATGAAAAAATATATTACTATAGTTTAAAAAACTGAGGAAGTTAAGATTATGGAAACTATGAGCTCTAAATTTTGTTTTGTTTTGTTTTTATTTTATTTATTTTATTTTATTTTTATTTATTTGACAGAGAGAGAGATAGTGAGAGCAGGAACACAAGCAGGGGGAGTGGGAGAGGGAGAAGCAGGCTCCCTGCCAAGGGAATATCCAAAGGAATTCTATAACTTTTTAATCTTTAAGTTTATCCATGTATATATAATTTTAACCTTTTGTGGAGTTGAAATTCTAACTATGCTCAATAATAAATTAAGCAAGTCAGGGCTCCTGGGTGGCTCAGTCATTAAGGGTCTGCCTTCGGCTCAGGTCATGATCCCAGGGTCCTGGGATCGAGCCCCGCATCGGGCTCTTTGCTCCGTGAGAAGCCTGCTTCTCCCTCTCCCCCTCCCCCTGCTTGTGTTCCCTCTATTGCTGTGTCTCTCTCTGTCAAATAAATAAATAAAATCTTAAAAAAAAATAAATTAATTAAGCAAGGCATTTAATGAGGTGTCTGGGTAATATCTTGAATAATTTCATTATTCCATTCTTCATGTGCATGTAACTGGAAAACTAAGGGTGGTTTCCAAGGCCTGCCACAAAAATAGGAGTAATATGATCTCTTTTAAAGCACTGAAGGAGTGCAGCCAGTGTTCATTATTCTCCAATAGAAATTTTCAGCACTTACTTGCCTGGAAAGTTAGGGCAGAATCAGATGTATCTTTAATCTAAATGCCCCTTTTTTGCATATGTATATTGTAGGATGACTTTAAGGTAAAAATATAAAGGATTTACAGAAATGTGTAAATGAATATATGGATTTTCTAATTATATCTAGAAATTATATTCAAATTATAGTACAATAACTTTGTACATTTATTAAATCACTAACAGTGGTTTAAAACCATAAGCAAATGTTATACATCATAATTTTATGAAAAGAAGACATTCTGATTTTAGAAACAGATTGTTTTGATGGAATAAAATATCTCATTTTTCCTTTCAAAATAATTCATTGAACCCATGATGCTATGATAGTTCAAGATTACTGAACTATGTTTCCAAAAAATTGGCTTGTAAAATGTACATTTACAGCATGATGAAATTAAGGGTGTATATAGTTTATTTATCCGGTATTTAAATGTCCATAGAAGAAGATGAATTTAATATAATGTAGTTGTATTAGTTGGCTAGAGTACAGGAATATTTGTATGGTTTTTCTAGAGCAGCATTATCCAAGAAGAAATACTATATGAATCATATATGCAATTTTATTTTATTTTTAAATTAAAACAAGTTCTTTTATTGAAGTACAGTTGACACACATTACATTAGTTTCAGATGTACAACATAGAGATTCAACAAGTCTGTATGTTCTCCACAGTATGTAATTTTAAATTTTCTATTAGCCACATTAAAAAAGTAAAAAAAATAGGGGCACCTGGGTAGCTCAGTCGAAGCCTCCGACTCTTGGTTTCGGCTCAGGTCATGATCTCAGGGTCCTGGGATCAAGCCTTGTGTTGGCCCCACACTCAGTGTGGAGTCTGCTTAAGATTCTCTCTCTCTCTCTCTCCCTCTTCCTCTATCCAACTCAAGTGCCTCAGTTCACTGTCTCCCTAAATAAAAATAAATTTAAAAATCAAACAAAAAAAAGTAAAAAAAAATTAAATTAAAAACCCAAAAATAAACAGATGTAATTAATTCTAATGATATAATTTAATTAACCCAAAATATTAAAAATGTTATCATTTCAACATATAATCAATATAGAATTATTAATGAGATATTTGTGTATTTTTTTGTGCTAAGCCTTTGAAATCAGGAATGTATTTTACATTTATAGCATATCTCAGTTCTGATGCTAAATTTTAATTGAAAATACTTGATTGGTATTTAGCTTTCATAAAATTTACAGTTGAATAAAGTAGATAAAGATACTCGATGTGTTCCAAACATAACTTAAAATTTTTCCAATAACTGAATCAAGTATGTTTTTTTTCAAGTATCAGTTTTTAAATTTAATTTTAAGTTAATTAGGATTACTTAAATGAGTTGAGTTTCTTAGCCATACTAGCCACATTTCAGGTGCTTAGTAGCTACATGTGGTTAGTGCTCATTGTATCAGAAGCACAATTACAGAGGTAGTTTGGCCTATCAAAACATAAAACGCGTTTAACCTTTGAACTAGCAATCCCACTTCTAAGAATCTAGAAATATGGAAAAAAATGTGTAATATAATGTTCTTTGGAACATTTTATTTTCAAAGAAAAATTGAAGACAAATGAAAGGGAACTCGAAGTAAGTTTTGATAGACACACACAAAAGAAGACGCCTCAGCCATTAAGAAATTAATGAAGTAGTAAAATTAGCCAAATTTCTGTGGTATTTGGATGGCATAATGACTGAAGGACAAATAGAATTTTAGTTGGTTGATAGATATGGTAATCATATTTTTATTACATTTTATTACATTTAGAGGTAATCTTATTTTCCAAGATTTTGATTGGGATCAGTTTTACATCTTAACACTTTAAAGTAGCGAAGAGTACAGGCTAAATATATACCCCCATGGTCCTAGTATCTATTAGCTGGGTAACCTTCTCTTGCTGGTGTGTTTTTTTGTTTGTTTGTTTTTGTTTTTTTAAAGATTTTATTGGGGCGCCTGGGTGGCTCAGTTGGTTAAGCGACTGCCTTCGGCTCAGGTCATGATCCTGGAGTCCCGGGATCGAGTCCCGCATTGGGCTCCCTGCTCGGCAGGGAGTCTGCTTCTCCCTCTGACCCTCCTCCCTCTCATGCTTTCTGTCTCTCATTCTCTCTGTCTCAAATAAATAAATAAATAAATAAAAAGATTTTATTTATTGGCACACCTGGGTGGCCGTCGGATAAGCGTCTGGCTTCGACTCAGGTCATGACCCCAGGGTCCTGGGATGGAGTCCCCATATTGGGCTCCTTGCTCAGCAGGGAACCTGCTTCTCCCTCTGCCTGATGCTCCCCCTGCTTGTTTTCTCTCTCTGACAAATTAATAAAATAAAATCTTAAAGATTTTATTTATTTGATAGCGCATGCTAGAGAGCACAGGCAGGGGGAGAGAGAGAAGCAGGCTCCCTGGGGCTTGATCCCAGGACCCTGAGCCACCCAGACACCCACTGTTGGGTTTTTTGTTTGTTTTTTTGTTTTGTTTTGTTTTTTAATTTAACTGCAGGTTTTTTTGAAGTTCAGGAGTAGCAAGATAAGATTTTTGGAAGAAAGGAGAATATAAACCTTGAAAAATGGAATAATTGAAAGACCACCCTTGCAGGGTGGCATTTAAAAATACTTGGACTCTAATTGTTAATTTGAATTGGGTATCAGAAATGTTTGATACCAGTTTTATAGCTGCTTAGTTTTATGATACTCTAGAGTATTCCAGATGAATGTGTTGTTGGCAGTGTTTGAGACATAAGTAGTGGTCTGTAGGAGATTGCTAAATAATTTGTAAAAGGTGTGAAGACACACAGTCTGAATCGGTTGTGTTGAGTTACAAAAATTAAACATTTCTCGATTGTGAAAATAAGTGACTTCTTTCCCAGAAAACTCATTTAGTTAATATGCATTTTAAATAATTGGTATGTTTTGTTATGCTACAATATCCACTGAAAGGATCTTTTTTTATTAGCATCTTATTTACAAGTGTGATTAGCTTCTATTTTTTTTCTTTCAAGCCAGAATTGTGGGGATTTAATTTTTTTTTTTTGATGTAGTGTTCCATGATTCATTGTTTGCATATAACACCCAGTGCTCTTTAATACCCATCACCAGGCTAACCCATCCCCCCACCCCCCTCCCCTCTAGAACCCTCAGTTTGCTTCTCAGAGTCCATAGTCTCTCATGGTTCATCTCCCCCTCCAATTTCCCCCACTTCATGATTAACTTCTATTTTAAGAATAAGTTCTATTAAAAAAATAATTGTAATAGATATTTGGAATTTGAAGCATAATTCCTTTAGAAACAATTCTGTGAAGGGTGGTTTTGGTTCTCAGGGCACCTCACAAAAAGCAGTTTGAAACATCATTTATGCAGAGTCAATGGCATTGACCTGACTTTAAGTCTTGGAGGCAAGGGCTGCAGGTGGTGAGGGGTGAGGGGAGAACATGCTTTTTACTTCATTTCCGTTTGTAGGGCTGTAGGCATTTGAAAAAGGAACATTTTCTTCGGACACCTTCCTCCTTCCTTTCTAAAAATATTTCACTATTCCCAGCTCATAGGTTTTCTAACATGTTCTGTGTAATTTATTTTTAACTCTTATTTTTTTCATCCTTTACAGATATAAATAAAATTAAACTAATTAGAAAGCTGGTTCCTGAAAACATTGACACCTACCTTATCCACATGGTGATTGAGATCCTGGAAAAAGACTGTGACAACAGACTCTTAGACCAGCTTTCATGTGCTTCCAACAAAAAGAGATATTTCCCCAACTCTGAAGAGAGCTGTTCAAGTTCTAAGAGAAGCAGGGAAGAAGTAGGTGCTAATACCAAGGTGTTAATTATATGTAGAATTTTCATACATTGTCGGTTGGTTCAGTTTGCATATTCTAACACTAAAATGCTGTATTTTTTAAACTTATAAATTCTGATATAAAGTTACTTTTTAAAATCTGTGCTCTATTTCCTTTGTTTTTCATAAATCTTATCTGAGAAAAGTGATTTTTTTAAACAACAGAAAAAGGGAAATGTAGCCCATCTATTTAGCTTTTTGTATGGAATGTTAGCTTAAATTTTACCTCTACCTCATACTGATTATATATATAACCTGGAAATGCTTTTTATTTCATAGACATAGTTAATATTAGCTTTGAGCATATGGCAATTTATGTAGTTTATAAAAATGAAAATGAATTCCATTATAAATACCCCCAAAACTAGTTTGTCTAACATTCTGTCATTCATCATGCTCTGTTCCTGTCATACTGAATCTCTTAGGTACAAGGATATTGTTGCTAATTGTCCTGAGTATATACCATATATATTTCTGAGAAAGACCATGAATTTAATATTATTTAGTATTATTTTAGTTTTATTAATATTAAATGCTTTGGAAATTATTGCTCTGTATGTTATATGAGATAACTATTCTTTGAAAATGATTCTATTAAATGATTGTATAAATTTGAAAATTTAACCTTCAGTATCTTCCAGGTCTAAAATTATATGACTCCATGATAAAAGTTGTAAAAACTAATAATTAACTAAAAAATTATTTTAATTTCTAGATCATAAATTGAGCATGGTAGTAGATGTTTGCTAGTATTTATATATTAGTGCATTAGGGATTCCATTCCAGTTCTAAGGTAGTCTTTATAGGATTTCCAGGAGTTAAACCCATTTTCTCAATAGCTTAAAAATAAGAGGAACTGATCTTTTTAAATTCTGTACTTCAGTTAGGTTTGTATATAGACATATCCTAGATAACCTAATGAAATTTGATTAATTGGAATTCTTTACATTATTTAGATAATTGAAGTAACTGTGAGAAGGATATTAAAGAAAATATATGTTGGGTGGTTGTAGTGAAATTTGGCTTCTATTCTCAGCCTTTTATTTCTGAAATCTGTACCAGGTGCCTAAAACCTTGTTTTTTTACCAACTTCTACCTATCACTAAAGGAAAAGGTGAAACTTGTTATTTTTTTCTGATTATTGATGCACATTTATATGAAATGTTATTTTAATCACATATTAGCATTTGGCTTTTCCCTTTATTGAAATAACATCAAATGCTGACAACAGAGTGGAGAGATTTTCTTGGGGCGGGTGGGTGGGTAGAAGTCATGCTGAGCCTCCTGGATTTAGCACCTCCCCCCAACCATTTAGGGGAACAAGGATATTGGGGCTAGGAAGTAGATTAAGAGATGAGTGAACCAGCCAAAGTATTTTTCTTTCATCTGCCTCCCAAGTATAGAAAGCTACTTTGAATACTGTAGAGTCTGTTGGAGGGCTGGTTTCAGATCTTTCCCGTTAACATTCATTTTCTCTCCTGACCTAGATTGTATCTCTTAGTCTGTGTCACTGGATGAATATGAGGCTTCTGATAAAGAATAATGTCAAAACAAATTCTTTGTATTTGTTGATGCATTGTTAGTTTTACATCTGTTGTGATTGCTATTAAGATAGAAACTCAGTCATGCCTATGTTTAATGAAGAAAAATTCTGTCTTGATATTGGTAGTTTTGATTCAAAATATGCAGGTACACAGTAGGTTCTTTAAGTACATAATTTTTTTTTAAATTTCTGGAAAGTCTTCTTAAATTTTACTTTTTAGTATTTGTCCCATTGCTTTATATTTCTTCTTCAGGGACTTCTACTATCTCTATGTTGGATCTTCTTTGCCTAGCTGCAATATTTGTCACTTTCCACGAATTCTTTCTAGTTTTCCATTTCTCTTTAATTTAAAATTTTCTTCTTCATCTTCTTCTTTTTCACCTCTTATTTCTCTGGACAGAATCTTGTTATGTTTATTGCTGTGTTCCTCATAGTTTAGTATTCACTTCTATACATTTTTCCTTTTGCTTCTAATTCTTTTTGTTTTTTTTTTTAAGATTTTATTTATTTATTTGACAGAGAAAAACACAGCAAGAGAGGGAATACAAGCAGGGGGAGTGGGAGAGGGAGAAGCAGGCTTCCCGCGGAGCAGGGAGCCCGATGTGGGGCTTGATCCCAGGACCCTGGGATCATGACCTGAGCCGAAGGCAGACGCTTAATGACTGAGCCACCCAGGCGCCCCCTTTTGCTTCTAATTCTTAGCTGAACTTTTCTCCTCCATTTTGAATTTTTCTGATACTGATTTATGATGTTCTTTCATGTTTTGAATAATTTTCTTAATATTTTTCAACTCACTTTAAGAGGTTACGGTTTTATCCTATACCTTAGCAAGTCTTCTCATGTCACATTTGACCTTAATACTTTCCTGTTGTTCATTTTCATGAGAAATTAGTTTTCCTGCACTTTCAAAAGAAAGCATGTTTCAAGGTAGTTTTTCCCAAGTTCACAGAATTCTCTCTTCTCGTATTTTGTATAATTGTTCAAAATATGGAAACTTAGTTTATGAGATATACTCCTCTGCCACTCTTCCCTTTGTCTCTATTTTACTTGAACTGCTTGATTTGATTTCACCCCAGCAGTTCTCCCAGAAGGCAGCGTTATAGCTGGTCAGGAGTGTTCACGGACGGGGACCAGTTGCGTTAGCCATTGAAGACACCGTTCCTTATAAGTCATTTGCTGTTGGGTTGGGCAGAAGCCCTCCCATTTTCAAATGCTCTTTTCACATTAGTCTACCATGGTTTCTGATGTCTACCTGTGGGCTACTTTGGGGTTCTTCTGTTCTCGGGTACCTCACTGCTTGCTTCTGCTTTCTCTCGTACGTAAGTGGTACTCTGCAGGTCTTATGGCTGTTGGTGATTTAGCCTCACATGCTCAGAGTTTGGATTTCCTTGGGATACCTTTAAACTTAGTTTCGTTGTAAATGTAGATTATGCGTTTTGGATTTTCCTGTCAATTCTGTTTTAATGGCGGGCTTCAGAGAGATTAAAAAACTATGCTGCTGCTTCCACCATCATCCCCGAACCCTCTCCCCCAAATTACTTTTTTCCTCCTTGTTTTTCTTCACTGCCTAAGAGAGAATGTATGTGATATTTCCTGCCCTGCCACTAAGTTTCATTATAAATTAAAATGTACGATATTATTTACAAACTGTTTTGAGATACTCAGAAAAAAATGCCTTATGAATAATATTATTATAATTATTATTGTTAAAATTCAGTACATCAGAACAATTAGAATTTTCTTAAGCTTTGCTTCTTTAGGCATAGTTTTTGTTTTGTGTTGTTCTCTAAGAGAATAGTGCATGCTCTAACTATTTCATGTTCTATAACAATGTTAAAGGTTGATGGAAAACATCCTTGTGATTTTTCACCAAAAGCTGAAAGTCACAGAAATTCCCTAAGACTAACTTCTTGGAATCAGCCAACCAGCGATTCAGAAACAGATTTATTTACAGATTCTCATTTACAGGTAAAATTAAATTAACAAAGTAGTTTTCATGATAGCTACATCCAACTTGGTAATTACTATTTTTAGATTTGTCTTACTTTAGATGAAATTAAATGTGAATATAACATACATATTTCTCTATTTACTTACATATGTATGCTCACATATACTCAACGAATGAGTTAATGTTTTGTATTCTCAACTTAATGATAATATTTGTTAGTAGAATTTGGAGTATCGAAAAGATAAATACCGCCTGAAAATTTTATTATGATTGCTGGGAATTTTAGTTGTCTGCTGATGAAGGAAGTTGTCACTGAAAGGCACTGTTTCTGTTAGGTGACTCAGTTCTCATAAAGTCTCTCCAAATACTTATTGTTGAGACTCAAAAGATACACTCAGTGTAAGTAACCATTTTCCCTCTTTCTCAATGAAACAAGATCATTATTATAATAGTATGGTAAATGCTGAAGATCATATTCTGTAGAAATATTATAGAAGATAAAACATTTTAAATGATGTTAGTTACTAATTAATGAATGCCAAGAATAAATCAGAATGTGTTTTGATAGTTTGCAAATATTCTCATTTGTCTCTCCAGGTAATCTAGTGATGTGATGTACTGTTATTTTCTGTGTGAAGAAACTGAGGCTGAAATAACATTCATAAGGCCATATTTATTTGACAGAGAAAAACACAGCAAGAGAGGGAATACAAGCAGGGGGGGAGTGGGAGAGGGAGATGAGTCACATTTGGCAAGTGACTCAATTAGGACTCAAACCTAGTTCTGCCTTGTTTGGCAGTCCCTATTTATTCCATGGTATTCGGCTACAAGACTTAGGGTTTTTTCCTCTGCTCTGTTCCTGTTCAGATATCATGCTCTGTTTTGCTTTTTGATTTTGTTATCATCTTAACTGATTTCCTTCCTCCAAATGCACATAGGCGTTCAAACTCTAATTGCAAACAACTGTAGGCTGCAAGGGATTGTGATAATAAGATCTTATGGGAGGAATAAATATTTCTGGACCAATTTTATCTCTGCCCAAATGCCTTTTGTCTGTGCCATTTTATATCCCCAGTATTTATTTCTGAGTCAAATATCGTGTCATACAGTATATATAAATCTAATTTGTTCTCCTGGACTTCTCTTCCCTGTGAGGAAATTTGCTATCCTTAGCCTATTTTTTCTTTAGCTTTCGCTAAAGTGTGAATAGCTCTTTCTTCTTCATTGGATTTCTTTAACAGAGAGAGAGAACACAAGCAGGGGGAGTGGCAGAGGGAGAAGCAGGCTTCCCACCCAGCAGGGAGCCCGATGCAGGGCTTGATCCCAGGACCCTGGGATCATGACTGGAGCCGAAGGCAGACGCCTAACGACTGAGCCACCCAGGCGCCCTGGATTTCTTTAATTAAGCCGAAATAGCTAGTAGTTTTTTTTTTTTTACCTTTTCTAAATACAAGGTTTCACAGTTTTCTGCTAAGGATCTTTTACTTTTTTCCCCACCCTTAAATCTTTTGAAACCATTTTTAAACATAGAAAACATAATAAAACATGGCAAGTAATTGATGAACTATATATAGAGTTTTTGTTCTTGAAATTGAATAAATAATGCCTTTTACCTTAAGCTAATAGACCTATTATAACTTAGATTAAGGTCACCTTATCATAAAGTCCTTCAGATAGTTCCAGTAACTAACTCGGCTGGATTCCAAGGTGTATTTGCATTAGAATGATTTGTCTGTTATGTTAGTTTGAGGCTCTGTGGTCAAACTGAGATAAGACTAATTAATACCATTTTATGCTTTTGGAACATAACTCAAAATTGTTTTATTTTTTTCAAGTGCAGATCATATAATACACAACCACTGCCTTTGGGTTCTTAACCTTTTTTTTTTCAGGGACTTTTAGGGTTCTGAGGCTTCGTTTGGTGCATGTAAGTCCCCTAAAATTGTGCAAAGTATTATGTATGTGTATATTTAGAAGTGGATCTCCAGTTTTTAGCAGATTTTCAGAAGAGTCTTTGAGACAAAAAACAGAATTTTTTTCGTTTATTCGTGAACATTTTTTGAGTATCTGTTACGTCCCAGCAACTCTGGAAGGCACTGGTAAGTGTTTGGACCACTCTGCTAGTCAGGCAGCCATCGGAGACACAGAAGCACATGCTTTTTCAAATACCTCTCTGATTCTGTGTGTGTGTGTGCATGTGGGTGCACCGAAGCAGATGCCTTCCTCAGAACATTAAATTAACCATTTTGGTCAACCCCGACCAAGTACACATGACATATAAATCTGAAATAACATCCAGTTCTTTCCTTCTCAAATGAGCGTATACACTTGAGTGCCTGAGAACAGATAACAAGATGGCAGGTAATGGCCTAAAGAAACGATATAGCGACTTTTGTCTCTCTTTTATTTACTTTTTGATCCAGAAATAAATTCTGTGGCTCGCACTATTTTGTTTTATTCAGCAAGGGAAGGGTGGTGGGTGTATATACAATAACCTGTGGTACTTTTTACAGCTGACATACATTTTCAACATTACAAATATTTCTTTTTCTGTTTCTTTCCTACAGCCTCCGTCTGTAACCTCAAAGAGAAAATTACCTGAGTGGTTTGCCAAAGACAATGAGACTTTAGCTGACACCAGCAAGAAATCAATGGCCAAACCAAAAAAGAAAGGTCTTTTTAGTTAACCTGGCAATTGCCAGAGGAATTGTGTGTGTCTTGCTCTATTATAAGAGAGGAGCTGTGTTTCATTTTTGAAAATAATGGCGACCGATACTTCAGTTTACAAAGTGTTCTAATCTCAAAAGTAAAACTAACCCATTTGTTCAACAGCTGTAAAACAGCCTTGTGCAGTTTATGAAAGTTGAGTCTTCTGAGAGCCTGCGTGAGTTCATCATAGAATAGAATAATAAATTGGTCTCCTTTAAGATTGCTTTAAGAAACTGTGTTACTGCTCTTTTCTAATCTCTTTATTTATTTCAACAGTGTGTTTGGAAAATTTAAGGGGTGCTGATTTGATACAAATAACGGACTGGTGGTAGTTATATGATGATTACGAGTGTGATAGAAAATCTTCATATATTACCAGAATTCTTTCTTGTGAATGAAGGAAGCATAGTTATTTTTACATATTGTCCTTACCATCCTTACAAGAAACTCTTACACACATTGATAAATGGTATTAGTGGACCAGACCATTGAAAATAAAACATTCTGGGTTCCGTGCAAGTAGGGAAAAATAATATAACAAAGGAGACCAACTTGACTAGGCAACTATGTACTTTGTATTTTGTATGCTATTTCTGTTATTTTGCAAATACTAAATTCCTTCATACTGGACATTACAAAGATATATATATATAATATAAATATATATTTTTACTTTTATTTACTTAATTACCTTGAGGGCTTTTAGTTTTTGAGGATGTTGGGATTTGTTTCCAGTACCTCTTTATGTAGCACATAATAGACTTCTCTATTGAAACCCATACTCTGACACTGAGTTTGGTAAACCATACTTAATATCACTTTAACCAGTTCACGATACGGACTTTAACTGACATTTTTGTAACTAAAAATAACTGTTAATAAAGAAGAAATATTGTAGAAGAACTAGAAAATCTGGAGAGATGAAAAAAAAATAAAAATCACCAGTAGTTCTATCAACAGATAATCAGTTAACCCCTTCTGTGTAGCCTGCTAAGCCTCTGTATTCACTGCTTCTCTTAGTGTGATACGTGAATAATGCATGAATGTATTTTCTTTGTAAAACATTTAAGTTAAAACACAAAAGTTCCTTGTATTCCAATTTTCCTACGTCTCTTTACCATTCCCTTTCCAGAAGATAGCTCCTTTTAAATATGTGACTTATAGTCTCTAATCATTCCTCATGCATTTACATGCTTTTGCATATATATCTACACGTACATTTCTATTTTTTAAAGTGAATTAGATCACGCTATATGCAATTTTCTGCAACAAACTCTTTTCACTTAATATGTCATGAAGAACTTTCCATGTCAGTATATATTGGTCCGTCTCATTGTTTTTTATAGCTACCTACCATTCTATATGGTGAATATACTATATTTTATATAATCACTTTTCTGTTGGTGATTTTTGTTTTTTTGTTTTTTTCTATTTTAGATATTTTCTAGAAGTAGAATTAGAGACTCATTTATATTTCACTTGAATGTATTACGAACATTTTTTTTCCATGTCATTAAATTGTTTTCCGCAGAATCTTTTTTGGTGGCTTTATATAGTACAGTGATTCTCAAAGTGTGGTCTGCAGACTTTTAGGAGTTTTTGAGACTCCTTCAGGGAATTTGCAAAGGCAAAACTATTTTCATAATACCAAGATATTATTTGCCTTTTGTCCTGTGTTATTTGCATTGAGGGTGCAAAGCAGTCGTGGGTAAAACCACTGGTACTTAAGTGCAAATCAAGGCAGTGACACCAAATTATTGATTTTATTAATTCTCAGTCTTTAAACACACATCTTTCAATCTATGTGATGGAATGGCAAGTATGTATAAAACACTGCTGCTCTGTACCAAAGTATGATGGTTGTCTCCAGGAAAGGCTCTTGTTTGATTGAATTATGAATTGAATTAGTTCTTTTTCCATGGAATACCATTTTTTACTGAAAAGAATGATAGAAAACCATGATTGGTTGTTGAGACTTGGGCATTTGGTGGATAAAATTGAACGAAGCCATCTTATCACTTCAAGGAAAACTGATGGTTATTTGTTGGCAATGATAAAATTTGAGATTTCTGGCAGAATTTATAGTTTTGGAAAACTTGTGTCTGCTGCCAGGAGTTTGAGAGCTTCCCATAATATAAAGGCTTTTCTAATGAGATGTTATTCATACTATTAACAATTTTTTTGGACATCTTACAATGATATTGTCAACAATTAGAAGATCTGCACAACTCAGTGAACTAGTATTTTCTACATGACTAATACATGATCTTATAAAATCATGCATGAGTAAAAGATTGATTCAAACCGCACAACAGTCCAATGGATTTTAATGTAGGAGAGTATGAAAACATTTGTTTATATGGCTTCAGATTGCACACTGCAACCAGTCTTTAAGAAGCTACAGATGTCCAGTTGTGGTACAGTTTCAAAGAAGAATGTCTGCAATTATCTGGAAAAGCTATTAAAACACTCCACCCTTTTCCAACTACATACCTGTTTAAGGTCACGCTTTCTTCATATACGTCAACCAAAAGAACGCATACTGAATGTTAGAAGCAGATTGAATGTAGAAGCAGATCTGAGAATCCAGCCACTTCTGTGAAGCCAGACAATGCCATTCTTCTATCTTGTGGGGGACATTTTTGTAAAATGTATTTATGTTATCATGTAATGGATTTACTGCTGCCTTTTTTTTTTAAATTAATAAACATTTCTTAAACATTTCTCAGTTTTAATTTCTAAAATGGTAAATAGTGATAGGTATAACCCACATTAACAAAAGCTCTTTTGGGTCCTCAATAACTTTTAAGAATATAAAGGAATTTTGAGATATAGGAGATTGAGAACTGCTGACATAGTATTTTATTATATAGATGTACTATGAATTATTCAGCTGCTTAAATCACATCCAGTTTTTCTATTTTAAAGCTCTGCTTTGAACATTCTTAAAATGAAAATGGTATAATCTCATGCCAAATACATAGCCAGAGGGAGAGAGAGAATTATTTTTTTTTGTCTTGGTCATAATTTTGTATGGACTTTAGGCCTTTCAGAATACATGGCTCTTGATTTATGTTTGAGTTGGTTCCAAGGAGAAAAATTCCAACTTGGACATGGGATTGGCACCTGTGACCTCATCTAAGCTAGTCTTTGGCCACAGTATTTGGATCTGGCTAAATTATTCCAATGAGCGTGAATCTCGGGACTTCTTCGGGAATTCTGGAACAGATATGTTCTCTTTTCCCCTGCTGATACTAATGAGGAAGCATGGACCTTGGGAGTGTTGGAGCAATTTTAGGACCCTGAGGAATCATCGTTTAGTGAAGCTGACGCTGAGGTAGGCAGAGTAGAAACGACAGGAAATCAGGTTATTGGTGATATTGTGGGGCTACTAGTTCATGCCCATCCTGAAGTCAGACGTATCTTCGAGTATTTCATATACACGGGGCCTTAAATTCCCTTTACTTAGGTTAAACCTGTTTGAATAAGGGTTTTTTATTTGTTTTTAACTGTCAATGTTGTGCCCTGGTCACCACAGTACAGTCGTATGATTGATAGACCCCCCCCAACAGACATAAGAGATAGAAAATTTTTTTAATGGCGAAGGATGTGGAGGCTCATAGAGATCGTTTCACAAAGTAGACGACAAAGCAGCATGCTCCTTGATGGAGGGGCAGGCTTGTAAATCTCCAGGTTTCCCATTCCGCATGCATTCCGTGTGGAATTTCCATATCCTCTGCTCTCCCCACCCCGTCCCGCTCCCTACCACTCCCTACCACCAGGGTGCGCTCCCTACCACCAGAGGGCGTTGGGGAGGCGCTGCTGTGTTCTGCCTGATCACCAGGTGCAAGTGTCTGGTACCAAATGACTCAGTACAGCACAGAGTACTAAGAACTGATGAACTGGACTTTAATTTCGCGGGTGTATCATCATTCTTCAGCTCTGTCAGGCCTCAAGTTTGCCTCAGGTTCATTCTCCAAAATAAGGAGTTTCTTTTAGGGTATTTGTCTTATGCTATCTCCTCCACAAAATATTAATTACTGTCTCTTGTATTGTCATTTGGAATTCTGACCACGGATTCAGACAACGTCCTGACAGTTATTTAGAATTAAAAAACAAAAACGGAAAAAACCCCCACAAGCCTGTGATCCTACCAGATAGAATAGGAAAAGAATATAGGATTCTTCCTGTTCAGAGAGGTTGCAATTTAAGTGAGCAAGAACATGAAAAATCCAATAGCATGGGGCGCCTGGGTGGCTCAGTTGGTTAAGCGACTGCCTTCAGCTCAGGTCATGATCCCAGGGTCCTGGGATCGAGTCCCGCGTCGGGCTCCCTGCTCTGCGGGGAGCCTGCTTCTCCCTCTCCCACTCCCCCTGCTTGTGTTCCCTCTCTCTCTGTGTCTCTCTCTGTCAAATAAAAAAAAAAAAAATCAATAGCATGACTGTACAGTCATTTTAGAGCTAACCAGACGTTTATCTGTCTTATGGGAAGCAAAGAAATGCAAAACCAACAAAAACACCGAAGAGCGTTCACTACAGTCATGAGGGGAGCTGCAAACTTCAGGATCTCAGCTACCTGAAAAGGTGCCACATAGTTTTTCTTGGGAAGGCAACCCAAAAATCATCTGGGATAATGTACAGACATCCTTACTAGGTAAATGTGTTTAAACCTTGGAAGAAATTAGAAATAAGTAGAGTATGAAGTAAATTAAAACTTTGTTAATAATATTTTAGGGTTAAAGAATAATAGGCTATATTTGATAGTGTAAGCATCTGAAATACTTGGGATAATTTACCTTTTAGCGTAACAGATTATTCTTGTGGCTCCATTTTAAAATGTATCATTGAAAAATTAGCATATGCTTGTTCTTTTAAAGCTGAAACCCTACCAAGTTTGAAACATTATTGGAATATTTAATAAGAATTAAAAAACATGTTATTGCATAAAATTCTATGCCAACAAATTTCATTTGTGAAAGAATGAAAAGAGATCTAACATTATGCTTATTATTAATACTAAGATTAGTATTAATATTAGTATCCATTAAACCCAGAGCTTTCATTATTTTTCAGAAAATTAATGAAACTTCAGCCTTACATCCAGCTTCATTTTCTAACTCAATTTAAAAGGATTATTGAGAAGTATGTACTCATTTATTCAATACT